CTCCCATATGAATTAAATAGACAAATTCGTATATCTGAGAAACTATTAGAGCTAGAATCTTCAAATTTTACTGAAGAACATTTAGAGAATAACGGGCGGTCTTTCAATGGGGGGCTTGGCACTTCCCATATGAATTAAATACAAAATTTTGTATATCTGGAAACTATTAGATTATTCAAATTTTTCATAGATTAAATTAAACGTGGAATCTCCCATATGTAACAAATTGAATATCTGGAAAACCATTGTAGTTAGAATCATCAAAATTGTTAAGTAGGTTTCTTATTTATATTGCTTTTAGGGTAGCACAGCACACTGGGTATAGCTAGTAAATAAACAAATAAAATATCTTTGTTTTTACGTTATTGATCATTTTCTTAATGCAAAATTTTTTAGAAACTGATTTTCTGCAAAATGTTTTATATGGAGAACTTGGAGAAAGGATTTGTTTTTAATTTTTAAGAATTTTTTATTCATCCCTGCATAATTTCTCATACAACTTTTGAGTTTGCTCTGTTTTGTTGTTATAAACAATATATTTGCTTCCAAAATCCTACTTTCTGATCTCTCGGATTCCGTTTTTATTTAAAATCGTTGAAAAATTAAAAACTAAACGTAGTTGAAAACTTAGCCGGCTTACAGTCGATTTTAAGCCGCCGCCGACATATTTACCCTATAAGAAATGAATGACCGAAACTAACACATAAAAAAGGATTTTACTAACACACATGCAACATTTTTTTTATAGAATTGTCGAAAAAAAAATTAATGGATAATTCCATCAACAATGACAGTCAAATGACCGGTAAAATGACCGTTACTGGACCCAATGTGTGGTATAGGGTTGAATTTGCTTATGAAAGAATGAAACAACTACATTTTGATTAAAATGTATTAAAATTTATATTTTGATCAACAATGACAGCCAAATGACCGATCAAATGACTGTCACTGTGTTACAGAGTTGTATTTTTCGTCGTTACAAATTAATTGTTTCTGCGAAAGCCAAAGATCAAGAAGCGAAGAAATAAAAAAATTACAAAGTCTTTAAATTATTAAAAATAAAGAGAATTATTATAAACTAAATTTTAAAAAAGCTCAGGAAGTGGATCAGAAGATAAACAATTCGGAGTTTAATCAATCAATGGTAACATAAATATGTACTTATGATTTTTATATTTCGATATTTATGAATACTTATGTATTTCTTTACAGACAACATATTTCCACAAATTAATAGGAGCATCAGAGGACTTAAGATTCTGCGAGATATGTAAAATGGTGAAAAGACTGGTAATTTATGTATATGATTACTATATTAATAAAATTAACAATATATATATTAAAATATCAATAAATTGTGTTTTATTATAAATTGGTATAGCCGTCAGATTTGACGGATATATTCATCAAGTGTGATTAGTCAACAATGACCGATTAATGCATCATTTTTTTATTTGTTAACTGTGATGGATATATCCATCAAGCATGATTAGTCAATCATGACTAATATTTATATCATCCATGATTAGTAAACAACAAAAGAGTGAGCAGCTCAAATATATGTTTTAAAGTCGATAGAATTCATAAGTGCGAGGGTGATGCAACATCACATGTACACAAATGTTTCCATCACTTTTTACATATTGCCCTATATATATATATTGCACTATAGTGTCAGTCGCCGCCGCCGTTAATATTTGTCGGCGCAGGGCTCTGGTGAATGTTTCTGGACAAAACATAAATAATAAACAGAAATTTTAAACGTTTTTAGTTAAATTCTTCAATAAATAATAAAATATGCCAAAAGTTGTATCCCGTAGTATAGTTTGTTCAGATTCCAAAGATCAAGAAGAATATAACGATGAGACGCCCTTGAATATTTACTATTGTTTGTGTGGCAAATTGGCATTAATTTTGGGTGAGCATTAATTTTGACTTCTTCCAGGGCAGGAATATAGTTTTGACTTTATTTTCCTAGATTGTTCCATAGAAAAATTACCGCTGAGAAGAACTGATGGAGCTCGTGTAATAGATGGGAAACATCATGCCCACAAATTAACCTATCAAGATGGTGAGACTATTTATATACGACGCAAGGAGAAGGGCATAGAAAAACAATATCGCTATAATGTAAGTAAATTAACGAAATGTCTTAAGAGTCTTAACATAAATGTGTTTCGTTATAGTGTAAATCCTGTAATTTACCCATCTATTACCGCCACGAACCCAAATCTGATATAACCTTCATAATACATCATGCCTTGGTTAAGACCAAAAATGATATACACTTAAATTTGGAATCTGCAACGTCTACGACAAAAAAACTTTTGCCTGGTGAATCGGAAAAGGTAATGGTTACACGTCACACTAAAAATATGGGTAAATTTAGTTCGGTTACTGTGTCTACCATAGACGAAGAAGAGGATGAAATTGAAGCGGTATGTGAAACTGTGTTTTTTACCGAATTAAAGATTTTAATGTATTTATTTTCCTTATTTAGCGTGAAATTGCCGATAGCTATGCGAATAATGCTCGTATTATTGAAAAGCAATTACAGCGCAAAGGTGGCAAACTGGTAGATGTTGGAGCGAAAACAAAACAAGATGATGGTCCTCCAGGCAAAAAATCTAGAGGAACTTTGTTGGATATTTAATAAATGAATTTTTTACATACCTATAAAAGCAATTGAAATGAGTGGGTTTAATGCTGGAAAGATAATTTTAGTTTATGTTTTAGAGTTGTGTTGTTATGAATGCTAAACTTTGTAGATTTTTCAAGTTATTTAAATCCAAACTTATACCTATTTAGAAGTTGTTTTGAGGTGAAGTTTGCATTTTGATTTCCTGTAAGAAACATCAATTACTGACTGACCTCAATGTAAATGGTCTTCTAGGGTTGTCACGTGTTTAGTGAAACCAGCGCCAGTTAGAAGTTAGAGAAGCAACCAATGGCCCCTACACGAATTATCTTTCCTCTTCTCCGCCCTCAGTTATGCAACGATCGATTAAAGTTATTACAACAAAAAATAAAACAGAAAAAATCTCAATTCAAATTGAAATGCAGAATAGGGTTGAGTGATAACGCTGCCAGAACGAAAGAGTAAAAGGAAATGAACAAAATCTTTAGTCTATTGTCTTTCTAGCCAACATGACAAAATCAGATTCTTCAACGTACTCGTCTAGGAAGTCAAAGTGATGCTAAACTTAAAAATTTAGAAAATTTAAAAAGAGCTAACATCAACCTATAGTCCGGAACAAGTATGTATTGGGTGTTGTTATAGTGCAGCGGAGGCCAAAAGGTCATTATCCAAGTGCCTTGGACATATGGCCATAACAGTAATAGTCTTTGCGAGGAGATCAAAACATTAGGTTTTGAAGGGTATTTGCACCATAAAAAGGGTGCAACTATTGTGATTCTCTTCGTAGAGTGTTAAGATCCTTATAGAAAAGCGAAACATTACAAGAAAACAAAAAGAACATCAACAAGTCGAAGATATGACTAATTCCTCTGATAAAATTCAGAGTCCCACAATTTAACCCAGTTTGTAATGGAAATAGTTTCTCATTTATTTTAACCTGAGATTCTGTTTTTGTTGTTTTAGCAAAGTCGGTGTGGCTGTATTGACAATCCCTGGTCGTTGTTCGTTAAACTTTGAATTGTTCCGTTGTTCGATTGCGAACCGATTGTCGTGTGAACGTAGAGAGATTGTGTATTCAAGAACAATGGCAAATTATGTGCTCAATTGTCTCTAGTTCATCTGCATCTTCCTCGCATATCCTGTAAAAGTCCGGTATATTACCGTCCTACTTACTGATAAAAGTCCTAATTGAACAATCTCCCGATAAGACAACTGCCAGCATCCTAAGACTGCATCTATTCAGTCCTATAAGTATCTTGGTAGCAGTCACATCCAGCGTTGGTCATAAGGCCTTTGAGATTTTGCAATCCTTTCTACTATTCTAGTGGTTGATGATTTCACGGATTCTCTCGAAAAGGACCAACACATTATTAAAAAAGCTCAAAATAAATTACACATGAACTTAAATACTGAAATGATCTTTTAAAAAAGTTCTTTGACAAAAGCTTTTTGAAAAACTTTCTATGGAGTTTCTATTAAAGAGCTTTTCTTTAAAAAACTGTTTTGTTAAAATATGTTTGAAAAAACTTTTTATTGAATTTTATTTTGAAAAAAGCTTCTTGTTAAAAAGGACATTCTAAACAAGCTTCTTGTTAAAAAAAAAACTTTTTTAAAAAGCTTTCTATAAAAAAGCTTTTCAAAAATTTACTTTTAAAAGAGCTTTTTTCCTATGGTTTAAAATGATAAAATTTATATTTAAAATAACTTACCCCTGGACAATTTCTTTTTAAAGACGTAAGATTTTGAAGTCCAAATTGTAATTGTAGATTTCAAAAAACACAAAGTATTATAAGAAGATCTTTTGTTTACATTTATGTATTTAATGCATGTTTATCATTTAAATCTTTTGTTTTTCATTTCATGTTGGTATTTAAAAATTGTTTTTCTTTTTTTTTATTTAATTGATTACTGTATACACTGCTACAATTGGAAAAAAAGGAGAGAGAAAAATATATAGAAAAATTAATAAAATAAATTGGTTTATTACACTAGAGAACACAAATTTATGGTTTTTTAGGATGCTCTCTTTTAGTTTAGACAATTGTTGCTGTAAGCTGTATTGAAAAGAAAAAAACGTTTATAACAAGCAGCAATATTGTTTTCTATTAAATGTATAAACTTTTGTTTTTTTTTAATTTTTTAAATATGTTTTTAGTTTTTTTTTTTCTGTAACCATAAACTAAGAGAATATTTTATTTTCGTTTTTTTTTTTTGCTTTATTATTCTTGTGAATATTGTATTTAAAACGCAAAAATTATAAATTTTCTTCCAATTATTATAGTTTTATATATAAAATGTTTATTTTCTTTACGTTTTATTTTTGTTTAGAAGAATGTTTTTGTTTTTTTTTCGATAATAGTTTATTTTCAATACATTTTTTTATATTTTATTAATATATTTATAAATATTTTATTTAAAGAGTTCTTCTGTTTAACAATCTATTTACTTGGAATTGTTGCAGATTGAGAGTTATAGGGCAAGGGGGACCAGGGTTGTTGTTGTTGAGAAATAATGACAGAGAGGGGGAGCTTTACTTTTCGTTTTTTTTTTATAAAATCTCTTAAACATGTTGTTTTTTTTTACTTTTATATTTTGCTTTTTTTCTTTTTATTTAAATATAATTGAGTTTTTTGTTTATATTTTTTTGTTAAGCTTTTATTTAATATTATTCTTTTTTAATGATGTTTTTATTTTTAATGTTTTCATTCTAAGCAAATCTTCTGGTTTTGTTTGTTTTATTTATGTTTATAATGCATAATTTTACATAATACCATTTTTTTAAATTTTCAATTTATTTCAATATTTCTCTTTGTTTTCCATATATTTTGTGTTTGCTGTGGTGTTGTTGTTGTTGTTGTGTTTAGCCAAGTTTTGATTCCCCTGTGTTAACTGCACGCTAATAAAAATTTATGTTCATGATGATAATGTTGTTGTTGTTGTTGTTTCTAAAAGTCATTTCTATCAGTTTCTAAAGATTTACTGATCTTCATCACCCAATTCATGTTTGATTTTAGAGAAATCGAAATCTTCACCAGTACCACGTTTGAAAATGTCCAATACATCGAGGCAAGTGGTTTCGAAATGAGTTGTGGCATCATAAGATTCCGAAATGAATATTTGAGAATCGGAACCATCATCGAGCGGCTCATAATAGTCCGAGATCGAAATGAACTTTTGTGCAATGGGCTCTAGTAGATCCAAACCGTGTTTAATTTCATTTTCTGGCTGATCGGTCTCGACGGTAGTCGAAACCATACCGACGAACCAGCCTTTAGCAGCGACCTGATGGGCATAACTGACCAATGATACATAAATGTCTGATTTGCGACCGACTTGTTTTTGTGGAATGATAATTTGGGTTGATAATGCATCTTTAGTATTGCCAATTGGATGATCCAATAAACAAATGCAACGTATAACTTGACCCTTCTTTCGTACCTGGGAAAGACCAAATAAAGAAAATGGTTTAATAGTTGTAAGATAACTTTCTACTACATAGCCTTAAAAGGCTTTATAAATACAGAGAGCTTTTAAAAAAGTTTTGAGAATGAGATTTCTATAACAGAGCATTTTATAAAACGGTTTTCTGAAGAAAATTTTTTGTTTAATGCTTTCCATAAAAAGAGCTTTTGAAAATAGCTTTTTTGTTAAAAGTTTTCTAAAAACATTTTTTCTTAAAAGCTTTCTATTAAAAGAGCTTTTGAATGGTTAAAACCACTTTGGAAAAGAGCTTTTTATTATTAATAATAACGTTTTTTGGAAAAAGCTCTGAAAAAGCTTTTTATAAAAAGAGCTTTCTGAAAAAAATAGTTTCTATTAGAGTTTTTATTAAAATCCTTTTGAAAAAAGCTTTTATTAAAAGAACTTTTTCGAAAAAATCTTTTCTAAAAATACATTTTTGAAAAAGCTTTTAGGTTGACGAAATTTTTCCAAAAAGCTTTAACGATTTTTATTCAATTTGCGCTCTGCGTTTAAACACTCACCTTATCGGGAACATAACTGGGATCACAGTAGACCTGTTTACATTTGGCAATCTCATCACCAGAACGTACACCTACTACCTTGCCACCCTCGCCCAAAACGATTTCATCAATGGGCTTATCCAACATATAAGTGCCACCATAAATGGCCGATAAACGGGCAAAACCTTGTGGTAATTCTCCCAAACCGTACATGGGATATAGATATGGTGATTTACCATATCGGGCTAATGAATCCGAATACAATTTAATACGTTGTATAGTCTTAACGGCTGGCTCATTCAAATATTCATCGTCACGGAACAGGGCCAAGGCATGACCTGTGAAATCTTGTGTATTCTTATCCAAACCGAATTTATCGTATAGAGCCTGCATATTTGCTTTCGATGGATCGAAATCTTTCCAGGTTTTTGGATCATCTTCCTTGAAGTCTTGAACATAGATCAAGAAATTGCGGAAACGACGGTTTTTCGAACATACCTGCAAAAGAGAGAAACAAAAGAGAGGTTATTAGTATATTGGTTTTTAACAATTGTTGATTTAATGATAATAGATAGATAGATAGATAGATAGATAGATAATAAGATAGATAGATAGATAGAATTAGTTACGAATATATAATAGATAGATAATAATATATAATAGATAGATAGATAGATAATAGATAGATAGAGAGAATAGATAGATAGATAGATAGATTAGTAGATAGCATAGATAGATAGATAGATAGATAGATAGATAGATAGATAGATAGATAGATAGATAGATAGAAGATAGATAGATAAGATAGATAGGAATAGGATAGTCGATAGATAGATAGATAGATAGATAGAGAAGATAGATATATAGATAGATAGATAGATAGATAGATGATAGATA